CTGTCTAGTTTGCTCATCCCTTTATGCTGGAGCATGTTAGTGGGGGGCAGCAGATGCATGATCCCCGGGGAGCTGCTGCTAGTTCAGATAAGCAGTTCCTTTCAACAGCCAGCCCACACACACACACACACACACACACACACACACACACTAGCTCATAGGAGAGCAGCAGTTAAATGACTGGAATGATCATCATGACCGGGCCAGGTGATGGGACCAAAGCTGTTTCAGTAAACGAGCAGTGGTGTCCACTGGTCAGCCGGCGTGCAGTGAAGGAATGCTGCGTTAGAAATAAGCTTTTGTTGGTGTGTACAACCACTTCAATGTTGAATGAGAAGGTTGACGTCTAATTGAAGTAAAATAGTCGAGTCCCTCCTGCTTATTTTGTGGTTTAACTGGTCGAAATGATTGTTTATTATATATGTGTGTATATATATGCATGTGGCAATTAGTTTGTTTCTCACAAAAAACACTCTGAGTGCATTGTTAAGGTGAACCATTTCTTCAGCAACATTTTTTTAGCTGTTAAACTGCTGCAATGAGTGGTAATCACCTCTTAAACTTTGGTCTGAAAGCACACTCGCACGGGGCCAGGCCTGGACAGAGTCCACTGTGCTCGGTGTTTACACTGTGCTTCCTGTGTGTCTGGGCCCCTTACCCTCTTACATCATCCTTTTTTTTTTTTGGTGCAGGAGGGACACAACGGGGCGGGCGGTGGGGTTGGTGGTAAGCGATGAGGTAGTTCATTAGTTCCCTGGACCATCCAAAATGAGATGCAGATCCATTATTTGTGTTTCCCTGAGATCCTCTGCTTTGTTAGTTTCTTTTTTTTTCTTTTTTGGTTCCTGCCCTTTGCAGTCGCCCTTCCAGTTGCCCTTTCAGCCTTTAAATTGAACTCTGAGACTCCGTTCTAAAAGTCTTGTTGGTCTCATGGATGTGTTCCCTGCTGCATTTTCACCGTGGACCAAATCTCCATTTGATTAAGCACATGTCAACTTTGCAGTTAATTCCCGGCATTTCATTAGGAACCGTTCGGTTCCTTTTAGCGATGCTGTTGCTGTTATTCCTGGTCGCATGTTTTGGAGTCTTGGGTAAAACACGGTTCTTCCTTAAGAGTGAAGGCAGAGGCGCCGGGCCTCATGAATATTGCACGTCTTAACCTATATTTCGTCCCTGTGGGGAATCTCTGGATGCTGTGGAACAATCAGCTTGTTAGAGAGCTCTCATTCCTACAGTTTAGATGATTTTAAAGTCTGTAAAGTCCGTTTACAGTTTGACATTTATCCATCTCCAGGTTGTAAAAATGTATCGTCCCAGATTGCTGAATGTGTCATCCAGGCAGTCATGTGCTTTGCTCTGACGCAGACCTCGTCGGCCCTGATTCTAAGTTCCCTGCTGAGGTTGGTGTAAGGGCAGAGAGGCAGCTGTGGGAGGTTTTGTCTGATAGCTGTGCTGCTGTTTGTCCCACTCCGTTGTCCTTAGAAAGGAGAGAGCTTTCGGTGCAAGGTTGCAAACCGCTCCAAGGACGCACCCTCCCCTCACTTCCCATGCTTCAATTCCAGAGTCTTGCTATGAAATGTTAATTGTCTTTAAAAAGATTTATTCCCCTAACCCTTTGTTACAGAAATAATTGAGATGGAAGGCCCTTAAAGCGGATTATCTATTAAGTAGCGCGGGGGCACTTCTACAGGAAGAAAAATCAGGCTTTGCCGTGTGAATATTTGAAAATCTGCTAAAAGTAGGAAGCTGTGAAACTGGATTTCTGGCAGCTTTCCAGATTGTCCCAGCTTAAACGTGGCCCTTTAGCTCTCAGTGTCACCGACTGGATTCTGTCGTAACTGTTAGAAAAATGTTTGAAAAAAACAACAGACCAACCACACACTCATTTCAGATTGCACTTCAGCTGCTCCATATTTAGTCCAACTTTCCATGCTCCCAAGTGAGAATTGGCCCAGAGTCGTGCTGATTACCTGCTGATCCTCAACCTGCCATTCTGCTCCCACACTGTGCTCAGGCATGCGTGCGTCCACCCCCTCAGTAGGGGTTCTTTTACTGTTTGAACTGACTTTAACAGATATTTTATTCCTTTGTATCACACTTGCATTTAAAAGGGTTCAGCTGCATGCCTCGGGCTTTGTTTTAGACCTGCAGCTGAAGATAACCCGCAGGAGGCCTGATGGGTGTGGCGATCTCTTCTGACCACAATATTAAGTTTTTCTTAATTGTTTTGCATGTATACTTGATTTCACCGGTTTGTTTGATTGGATGTGTCGGCATAACTGCATCAGCATACGTGATCATACGTAATCTTTCAACCAACACATTAATTCCTCAGACTGTAGTGAGAAAGCTTTTCAGAAGCTCCACAGACTTGACAGGTGGAAAAACCTCTAATCTGTGGGACATTTGATCGTATGTGACCCAAAGAGGGGTTTTTCCACTTTCAGGAAAAGACTCTTGCTCTGCTTCAAGATGTGAATATGAATAATGTAAGTAATGTCACAAAATGCTGGACTGATGGTTTTTTGCTGTAGTCCTTCCCTGGCAGCCATTCTGGGAACAAAGAATATATATATAGTCACTGCTTTTCACACTTTATCATATGTACATATTTTCCCATGTGGCATTTGGTATTTCTCTAGTCAGTTTGAGCCTCAGAGGAGTCACAGTTCATAGATTATTGAGTGATCTGTGACAGAGTTTGAATTTTTTTTGTCAGTGGATTCGTAGCGTGTGCAACTCTGTATCATAATGATGATACAGCATGAAGGTCAAGTTGATAATAAAAAGTAGACATTTTCAGTTTAAAAAATGAGAAGCAAGTTTGAGAGTTTCTGTTTTTTTTAGCTGTTTCAGCCAGTGCTCAAATTTCAGAATTTTGGGAAATTAAACCTCAACTCTTTTTCAACAGAATCTATTGTCCCCTGCTTTCATCTATAGAAAATAAAATTCAGTTGAAATTGTTAGCAGAGACAATTCAACATTTTGCTCACATTCTGGAACTTAATCTCACTGACTCGGTCATCTGCGATGTGCCCACTTCTTCCTGTCACTCGGTTGCTCAGACCCAGCGAACTGCATCAATCAGCCCTTGTTTCGCTCCCTTTGCGCCACAGCAGCTCCCATTTTCCCCCAGAGAGCTTCACATTTCATTGGTATTCATTGTCAGTACCACATACATACCAAAGAGTGTGTTACCTTCTCTTTCTCGTCACCCCTGATGGTATGGATCAGGGTAATTGTCTAACCAGTCGCTTCTTTTGTGGTCCCAGTTCCCATGTGTATGGTAAAGACCTGAGGGAGTATCAGGTAACACAATACACAATACAGATGCACTTGCTCGTACCACGCTTAGGACCTTAAATGTCATATTTGCCCTCAGAGATCGGAAAAGAAATGGTGTGAGGGGATTTCCAGTAGTTGGCTGGATGATTCATCACCTGATATATCCTAGAGATACAAAGCCTCCAAGACACAAATCTTATTTGCAAAAATATTGTTGGTATGTCGCTTTAAATCAAGTCACAAGTCAATCTTTACCAAAGGGGCTGAAAAGACATGTTTAGCCAGTTAGCCATGTAGTGTGGGAATCTTTATGTGTTTAAATGGCTTGCTCCTGCTCTCAGCTTTCTCTGTTTTTATCCCAAAAACGGCACTCAACTGGTCCCAGTGATCTCACTGCACCCCCTGGCTTCCTCTCGCTCTTCTCACTGTCACCGCTGTGTGTTGGCCGCCGTCCCGTTGCCATGCAGAGAGCACAACAACGGCCCCTCTCTGCCACTGAGCATCGCTGCCAGGGAAGGCTAGCTTAATAGTGGCATGCTTTGACAGAGGGGAAAACAATGCCTCGTCTCCCAGTCGAAGTCTTTCATAGACTCTATCTGCCCATCAGACTTTGTCCAGCTCAGGGTCATCGGGAACAGCCCTCAGTTTTTTTTTCTTTTCCCAGATTGAAGAGCTTGCGTTTCTTTATGTGTGCAGATCACACCTTAAAGGCAGTTTCTGGGCCCCATCGTCACATTTGTGGGTGGTGACTCGCTCGTCTGTGCCGCAACGGTTAGAAATGATGTCGATTTTTTTCCAAGCACGCTCTGCAGACGCACGCTGAGAAGTTGCACAGGACTGACCCTGCCCGCCCAGTGCTCATTTCTTCTCCCTTTGCAGACCGAGCCGTGCAGCATTTTGCAGAGTAAATCTTCCCTGACTCATTGTGACAGCCCCCTACTGTCTGAGTCGTTTAAGCCAAGGCCTGCATAATTTAGAGCATGTTACCCCAGTGTTTACCCCCAAAGACTATGCAGAGGAAAATGTGCCCCGGCATGGCTCCACAGAGAGTGCAGGGATACAGTGCTGAGTGGACAAAGGCGAGTGTCCTTCCCATGAGCGTCTTTGTTTGGCAGTCAGAGCCTGGAAAACGAATGTTTGGGTAGGAGAGACGGTTCAGCCGACTCCCGGGTGTGAGTCATGCTCACGACTCTCCCAAACAACCGGCCCGGCAACTTATTTAGAAAGTTTCCGAATCTTGGCGGGTGTAAGATACTGATGAGGCGAAACTGATGGCTTCTGTTGACTGACGGGTGAAGTTGGACTGCTTGTTTCATTCTAAGCAGTGCGTTTCTCCACGGTGTGAGTCCGGGTCGATAAAACAGGCAGACGCAGTGGAAAAGCTCGGGCTCCCAAACTCCTAAACATTAGATCATCCATCGTGGGTGGAGTCACCCAGCGAAATGACTCGGCTGTGATGTTTCGTTGCCTTATTTTCGTAAGCGCTGAAATTGCGGCTGTGGGATTAGACTTGAGCGTCTGAAAGCGGAGATTCCCCCCTCGCAGTCACGGACTCCACCCTCACTGCCGGGGGTTCACGTCACCAGGGCCGGTTTGCTCGATGACTTCAGCTGGCTAATGGAATGAAGAGGAACCAGTTGAGTTCTGTCACTCGTCTCAGTTTTTAAAAATGTATTTTTACAGTTTTTTGTTTCGTCTTTTTTCTCCCTGACCAGCTCCCTGCTCGGCTCCAGTCAGCTCCTCGAGGCCCGACCCAGAGGGGGAAAGCAGCCCCGTGAAGGCAGAAAGTGCTCAGAGGATGGAGGCTTCGGCTAAGAGAGAAACGGAGCGGCAGCTAACTACCCCCACGAAAGCCGACGCCATGTGTCGCTCGCCCCGCTCCCCGGCATCACCGGGCCCCAGGTCCAAAAAAGGTAAACAAAACAAAAGAAAGTTTTTTTTTAAAGTGCCTTTTGAGTTGTGTTTTTTTTTCTTTTGTTTCTTTTTATTGTGAAAACTTTTAATGGAACTGAGTTTGGCCTGACTAGAGGCAGCTCTCTGATAATGGTGCAATCTCATCTGAGCTCGGCCGAAAGTCATTTCATCTCTCAAGACGGGGCCGGGGTAGCGGTGAGCGCATGCTTTCAGACAGGGAGCACGATCCGGTCCAGCGGCTGCAGCTCTTTCTGAGCCGCTGGAAAAAGTCTTAGACACCCGCCATTATGGGAGAACACTGCACGCCGAGGTTTCAGATGAAATCAAGTTAGTAAAGAGAATGTCCGGGTATAATTCGAACAAATGAGCTTTGTTGGTAAGTGGATAGCCAAAGCTGATCACTGCCATGGGCTGTTCCCTAATGAGGGGCAGGCGGAGGGATCCTGAATAGGAATCTCATTTTGCTGAGTGATAGCAGGAAGGCGTGGAGTTTGACCCAACAGCTGCACCGAGTTGTTTTCACTATGTCACTACTTGAACTCTTTGGAGTTCCCGGCGAACAGCTGATACAAAGTCCTACATGTTTAAGGGTTTTTAAGAGTGCAAACCTCTTTACCCTCATTATCCACCAATCCATTCACATAACGCTGATCCCCACTCCTCTCCATACTGCAGCAGCTCCACTCAGCCCCGGTAGCTCAATAGAACCTTTTACTCCTCTCTTTGGTCCAGAGTCTTGCTTCATTTGATCCATCTGCTCTGATGATCAGAAACACGCAAATGAGTATGTAAAAGATTCCTGGACTTATCTAGCCTCCCCCTCAGGTTTCCTTTATCACTGGAGTTTTACCCCATGCACTACACCGTGAAGATTAAAGCACTTTGTGACCCCTTAATTAGTGAAATGAAATGATGAAGCTCAGACTTCGGCTCATGGTTGACTGCCACAGCACAGATTTCGCCTGTGAACATTAGGAGTGCTGATCTACGTTGTAATTGTAGTGACATAAATTAAACCCTTAACTCTACAGCACACAGCTTCATCTCCCTCTGGGATGCTCGGTGGATTTCCCTAATCCCCGTAACACAGAGCATCCTCCACTACTCCTTCTGTAACTTGGAGACCAGAGGCTGATATTTAGAGAAGAACCGAGCCGCTAAACACAGCAGTGATTTCCAAGTCCAGTTTCGGCCCATTAATATTGGTATGCGTGGTATTGTTGTTTGACGCGGTGAGCTGCGTCAAACAGCACCTCACACAGACGGAGTGGCATTTCCATCATCCTATAAATAACAAAGTGGGTCAGGGTTTGCTGCATGCAGAAGGCTGCGTGGCAGATTGCTTTCCTATCTAAGATGCATGCCTCCCCCGTTCTGATGCTGCCGAAGGATGAGCTCCTTTGCGGCTGATGTTTGACATCTGGTCTGGGAAGATGGAGGTGGATGATGCTCTGTAAAACCCCAAGGAAGATCAGGACAGCCTGTGCCTTGTTTTTCCCAGGTCATCTGTGCTCATATTCCCTTTTAACTTCACTATTCATTGGCTAGTTTTAAGGGGCCTAGAGAAATAAACTGTCATTTTTTTATACACAGGGGATTTTTTTCTTATATAGGAGGAAAGACACACTGCATTTAGTCTGTAACTGGTGTCATAGATTTAAGTGTGTTTGCAATAAAATGACAATGAGTTATATTATTACCTGACCAGCCGTCTTTGAGGTGTTATTTTACGTGAGGAAAAAACATTGGAGAAGAGGCAGCATATGGAAGAGTTTGAAGTCAGACACACTCCCACTTGAAGGTGACGCGGGAGCTTTGATGTTATTGCCGTCTGGTCCATCTAATGATGTGTTTTGTTTATTAGTATCATTATTAAGGATTATTCATCCTGAAATTAGAAAATACCACATATTTGTTTCTATTCGTAAATGTTCGGTGGCCAATTGACAATGTTCCTACACATTCACACATCCTTTCTCTCTTCTGTCCATTTTCCCTCTCATCGTAGACATCATGAAGTCAGAGGAGAGGCAGAAGCTTGCAAAGGAACGCCGAGAGGAGAAGGCCAAATATCTGGGTGAGTTGCAGGAAAAGCCTTTTACGTTTGAGGAGAGCGCCTCCTGGTGTCGGGGTGGAAGAGGTTGTTCTTTCCTCTGGATTGGCCCCGTGCCTTTAAATAGCATGCATGTTTTTCACAGACACTTGGAGAGAGTAAAAAGGTTGTTTGGGCTTCGGCAGAAAATAATCTTAGATGTGGAAAAAAGCCATGCAACCATTTTACAAGAGAGCATCCATTTCCTGCATGCAAGCTGAAGCAGTCACTTTGGCCGCCACTGTTGGCTGATCGTTGTGTAAACAAAACAGTTTGACTGAAAATGACTACTCACGCTGACACCCTCATGTACCTGAAAGTTAATGGCCAGTGGTCACACTTCCACTGGCTCCACGCTGGTGCTGTGCTGCTTTGCATGATTGACAGCTACCTTTTCTTTCACCCTCTCCTCTTACAGAAGAGCTCAGCAAGTTGCAAGGTAAGCCACGCACCTATGTTTATGTGGTGGTGGTGATGGTCCTTTCCGATCATTTGATCATTTTTTTTTTTTTTTTGGGATGTCTCTGCTTTATTCGTTTCAATAGAATTAACAAGAGCTGGGTAATACACCAAGAACTAAAGGATAGCTTATTATCTTTACACCTCGTTCTTCTATAAAACAAATTGAGAAGTGAAATGAGCCGTAGGAATAAGATGCAGAAATTACATGTTTTTTTAACTTTGCATATTTACATGATTCACCTTTAGCAAATTACTCTTACTCAGACACTGTATTTAGTTTTGGTGATTATTGCCCAGCCTTAGGGCTTTTTATTTTTTAATCCTCATTGTTTTCCTCTTTTGTTTTTGAACATATTCGTTATTTTTTCTCCCCACAACAAATTCTCCTCATCGTAGCCCTTTCTCTCTCTGATTATCATCTGTGTCTTTCAACAAATCATTTAACTGTCATTTGCGATAGGTGCAAAGGCCCATGCTGTTGGGCTCGGTGCATCCTGACCTGAAATTCAACTTTGTTTGTCCTCCTGTTCCAGCCGCAGTCTCCAGCTGGCTGTTTAGATTTTGCATTCAGAAATGATCTATGTAAACCACACGCTGCAAAACCGCTGATTACCGCCCAGCTGGAAATAAAGATAGTTTTTTTTACACAGATTTAGTTTCGCTGTGAAATTATACAAACCATGATTATTTTGCAAAGTTACACATTTGGTCATTTGTGTTCATGTTTAGCTTCTAAGCTGCGCTGTGCATTTTCCTCATTCCAAAAGAGATTTGGATCCTTTTGATTGAATTAGAAGAAGAATCCCTATTCCTTACACATTTCCTCGACGACTTGGACTCCTCTTTAACCAGTTGTCATTTTATTTGCAGTAATGCCTGCTCTGCTGTTGCCTAATCCAGCTGAGTCTTTGAATGCTATTCGCCACAGTTGGTGCAGTGGATCAGTCTAATTGGGCGATCACTGGGACATGCCAGATGGGACGGGTCCCCGCTAATGCGCTGTCAGACTGGGATAAAGGCAGACCGAAAGCCTGTGTTTACGATATCGGCTTAAAGAGAAATCTGCTTGTACTACACAAACAGTAGTATTTCTCATAGCAGGGGCACGAGTGAAACATCTCTATGCACTCCTAATGTCAACACACATCAGTTTTGTTTAGACTGCAGCGCAAAAAGACGTTCTGCCTTTGATGGGAAGGCATAAATGGCCTAAACCTTCATTAATATTTATCATATGACTAGTTTGGGGATGCATTTTATAGCGAAAAAATGTTCAATGTTCACATTTGGATTTTATGTCTATATTGAATACTTAAATGATCAATTACTAACCTAACTTGCTTACACATGTACAGAAACAGTCAACTTCATGTTCATTTTCTCTTTCTGTCTGCATGGTCCACTATTCAAATATGGAAATACACAATTTGGAAGGGAAAAGGGAGGAAATGCTATATATTGGTGTAGAAAACTAATTAAACAAGCGAAGCCTTAAGCAAGCCTTGAAATATGTAATATTTATGAGCAGTTGAGACTGGCCTGTACCTCTTTCTGTCCTCAGATCACTGAATTATGAAGCAGCTTCCTCTCCCTTTACAACCAGCACCATCCCCTAAAGCTTTGTATCACTGGGAGTTACAGCTGAGGTGTTTCTAAAAAGGAGGCCATTGAGCAAGAAATGCACCGCAGTCATTTTCTTTGCGGCAAGGTGCTGGCAGCAAGGCCTCAGTATAACTCAGCTTTTGTACCAATCAGATGAAATCCAGTGCTTCCCAATACATTTTAATCCCACTACCCTCGAGCATCTCTGCAGTGATTAATCCCAGTGATCAGAAACCCACAACCAGCAGCTTTTGTTGCATCAACTGCTCTCACTAACTAAGCTCATATCAGTGGATTCTTAATGGTTTTTACATTGTAGTTTCAAACAAATATGATGAGATGTGAAAGGATTTGCATATCAAAGACTGGTTTATAGAAACATGATGTGATTAATATGTCGCCTGTAGAAGCACTTTGGGTGTCTAACTCCAGATTTTACAGCATTATGTGGAAAAGTCCATTCATCTTATTCACAGCTCGAAGAGGGAGTGAGGCAGAGGATGTTTTTCTCCCCTCAGGGACAGTTTACGGTGGGAAAAGAACAACAAAAGTATCTTGACTTTTGGGATGTTCCGCTCAGGTTTCAAATAGAATAGTTTAAAATCGGGCACAGTGTAAAAATAGAGCAGAAATCCAACATGACAAGGAGGCGAGACCCGTACTGAACTGATTTGTGACAATTTTGAAATTCTAACCAAGTCTTATATTTGATCTCAGCTGCCAAAAAGAACCAGTGGCTGGAAAAGGAGGAGAAGGCCCGCCATTTGAGGGAGCAGCAGTTGGAGGAACGCCGTAGAAAGCTGGAGGAGCAGCGGATCAAGGCTGAAAAACGGCGAGCCGCCCTGGAGGAGAGACAGAAGCAGAAACTGGAGAAAAATAAAGTATGTTTGGATGAAAACATGAACAGGTTATCGGGGGTTATTAGAACGATGCTTGAACTGCAGCAGGTGCAGATGGAGGAACTCAGGATCACATGAGCCAGACATGGTTTGAATCCAGACAATCCTCCCTGTATATCCACTACATCAGAGATTCTAAAAACCATTATCTTGTCATGCATCTTTCTTAGGAGCGCTACGAGGCAGCCATTCACAGATCCACTAAGAAAACATGGGCAGAAATCCGCCAGCAGAGATGGTCATGGGCCGGCGCTCTGAACCAGAACTCGACTCAGAAAGAAGGTGATTACACGGTTCAAACTGATGTACACATGTATTAGTGAACTAAAGTTATTGCTTCCTCTTTCCTATAAGCTTGATCCACCAAGTGCAACACTTGATTGTTTGAACTAGAAACATTAGATGAAACATTTTTTTAAGCATTTAAAATGGTATAAACGTGAATATATGGTATCACATGTACTTTTGTAATCATGTGAAACTGTACCGAAGCAGACTTTCCAACAGTTGTAAAGCTGTAAGCAGCAAATGATTGATGTTGGCTTGTAAAATATCAGTTAAAAAGCCAAAGAACTGCAGTGTGAAATGACTTAAAATGATTTGTCTGCTCCTTCATCCCAACACCAAAATAGATTTTAGTTGTGTTGTGGGGGTTTGAATTATGTAGTGCATTCATAGCTGCAGATTCTTCATGGCAGTTGCTTTGCTTTCTTTTTAATCGGTCACACATTGTAAAATATCTGATCCCCTCTCGAGCTCTGTTTGGGAGGCTGTTAGCCTTGAACATTACTTTTGGGCTGTGAGCCTTTAAGCATTACTACATAGTGTTGACAACACAAAGGGAATATTCATTCTGCAGCAGCTTCTGTAAAACAGCTTCCATCAACCATAGACTAAATTGAATTAGCTCACAATGCTTTATTGAATAAACAAAGGTCCTCAGCATCCAAAAGAAAATTAGATCAGGGTCTGAAACGCCTATAGAGGCTTGGTAGGAGGGGTCTGTTTGGAAAACTCTGGACGATGATGGATGCCTCTGTGTCCTGCTCAAAGTCTCCCTTTAGTTATAATTCTAGACATGAAGTGTTGTCAACTCCATCCGACACCATGTAATGACTTCTGCCACATGTCAGAGAGGTTATTGACAGTCAGATCAGCGTTTCCTCCCTCAGCAGCCTGCTGCCTGTCAAATGATGAAAATCTGCGTAAGAATTGCACAAAGGCAGCAGGGGAACTTCTGAGAGATACAGATTGTATGTTGGGAGTGCATCGAAGTGTTCATCTAGGCCTTGATTTATTTTTACCTTACATTAATTTGAAGTTCTTCAAATGATGTTCGTTTAGAATATTCAGTTGACTTGACGGACCCAGATTTGTGGAAGGTACAATTGAAATTTGGGTTCTATGCTCCGTGTGCTTGTTGATGTAATGAGGAGATATGAATCACTTCTCACCGCTGGTTTGGTGTTGTTTTACAGAGATCATTCAGAGGGTTTTCTTGATCAAAGCCACCTATTTTCTGCATCAGAAATCTTCCCCTGAAACGACTGAAACACCTTAATAGTGCAGGCTGACATCAACATGAAATGCGTTATCTGCCTGCTTCCTACCTCAAAGAAAAGACAAAGTGTCGTCTTTGTCGTCAGTTTGTAGCAATTAGTTGATCAATCAGGACTGACCGGAGTGAGGTGGATGTTGTGGGATAACTCAAGGAATCAGCAGCTGAAAGAAGGGGGCCTTTTGATTATGCTGCTCCTTGATAGCAAAAATCAATTCTGACCCTGTAAATGAACATGTAGTGGACTTTGTTAAAAGTTTGCCTAGTTTTTTTTGTTTTGGTGTATGCCTAGGGTCTTACTTAATTAACATTTGCAAAAGTAACTAAGGGGAGACATTTTTTTCTCACATGAATTACTAGCAAAAGAAAAGGAAAAAGAAGTTGATTGAAATATAAACTTTTTTTGTTTTACCCAAAAATTGTTAAATTGTTAGAATTTAGATGAAGTGAACCTCTTATTAACACTGATAGAAAAACGATATGAAAGCAGTAAATGTCTTTTAAAGGATGTATTCTTGCACGTTTCTTTTGGCCTGCTGAGGCAAACACAATCTGAAACGTGAGGAAGTCAGCGGCCGGTCAGCACACAGGGATCAGGCTTGATCGGTTCTGATTGGCTTGTTCATGTTGCACGGATTGTGGTGTTACTGCCTCCTGAAAGGCTGTGTTTAGAACAGCCAAGCCCACATCTCGGTAGAGCTCGTGACGCCACATATGCCCCCACCCCCCTCTTCCTCTCAGCCATGTGACCTGTGTGAACATCTGTGTGGCGCTCTCTTGGCTTCTTAGGCAGATGCTCTATTTCAGCGGTCAACCTGCCCAAACACGTGGACTCTGTTATAAACAAGCGACTCTCCAAGTCCTCCGCCACACTCTGGAACTCCCCCAGCAGAAGTAAGACAACATCTGGAATGCCCCCCCCCCTCTCCTGTTTAAGTGTCTCCATCATTAAGCCACTGCGAACCCGTTCATCACTTCTTTTTTTCAGTTATGTCCTCCCCTGTCTGATTTAAGTGCCTCTCCTGTGCTTGATGGTTGGCAGCTGATCCATTCCATTTTTATTTTGGTTTTATATTCTTCAGTCTTTAAGTTATGGTGTTAATTGACACATTATGCCTGCTTTTTTCATCATGGGAATCTTCCTGGTGTCTTTGTACTCTCCTTTGATCGGTTAATTTTGTTGTAATAGCTGTTTCATTCCTGGTGTCTGTATCGTCGAGCTGGTCTTTTTTTTCAGGGATTTGTTTGTTGTCTTGAATGTCGAATCAGCTGATCATTTTTCATCTATGTTGTGATTGACATCAAAAGCAATTTCCTTGAAGATTCAGCTCTCACCCGTGCCTGTCAAGATCTGTAATCTGGTCATGGTTATAGCCTGGTGACAAGAAGCGGCATTTGAGGGGAAAAAATAGTGACGCTTGTCTGTGTCAGCTGTTTTTTTAAGAGACACAGTGTGTCCTGAAAACTCCACAGAGCAGAATGTTCTCTGAGCTGCTGGAAATAACGGTTTGATAACCTTCTCCTCTCCAGAAAGATTGCACAATGTGAGCACTGAGTCTATGCACCTTATCTCATCCTACGGCAAACAGTGTGCTTCCTCTGAATGGATACTGATGGTGTTTCTCAAATCCCACTTTCTATTCTGTGACTCTGCTGAAGCCTGCGGTTATACGTACATTTGAACAAGCGTTTTAATTAATGACCTGCTATTTGGTTCTCATGAGGCCAAAGTTTCAGCAGACACATTAACTTTTCATTTCTTCTTGTTCCAACAAAACACTGATGACACTGATCTGTACTATTTAGTCTGCTTTATAAGGTTCTTTCAGTGTCTATGTTATTATAAAGTTACACATTTTATTTTTGGAAAAGTATTATTTATAAATGCTTTGTTAAATTGCTTAAAGAGGGAGATAAAGATGCAAATTTGATGGAGTTGAATACCTAGAACAAATCTCTGGTCAGGTTTCATTATTATTACTATTATTATTTAAAGGGGGGGAAATACTCATATTTGCTTCTACCTGCAGCCCGCAGCCTTGCATTGAGTCCATGGGAGAGCAGTATAGTGGACCGGCTGATGACCCCTACGCTGGCTTTTCTCGCTCGTAGCCGCAGTGCCGCCAGTGTCCTCAGCAATGGAAAAGATGGCCGTAAGTAGCACGCTAGAATTTATGATTATTGTTATATTTATACTGGGAAATTTGATAAAATGTATATATTATGTAGTGTAATTAGTTGTTTCAGTTTCCTCCAAATAATTGTGATTTAGTGGACAGCAAAACATTTTGACAGCCATAGCGTAAAGGCATCAAACTACACCCATTTTTTCTACACATGTTTTTCTCTGCTGCAGACTCTCCTCTCTGTCCCCGTTCGGCCTCAGCCAGCCCCCTCACACTTTGTGCCCACCAGCCCCACCACCGCTGCTCTGACCGCTGGAGGGTGACGTCCAGCACACCAGATATCACTCAGCGCCAACACAGGCGGAGCTCCACGCCTGTACGTCAGCCACATCTTTCTTGTTAAGAGCAGCTAGCATATGCAAAGCTTCCAGGCCTCTGAGAGTTAGAGAAGGGCAAGGAAACGGACCCTGATGCCATTAAGGGGGTCAGAGTATTTGAGCCTCTATCCAAATTATGTGTAATCAGGACTTGGATACGTAGCGGTTTCTAATCCAAGTTGCTAGCTGTTCAGTAGTCATCCTATTACTTTGAGATTCTGTTAAACCGTTGCCAAAAGAAGGAGTCTGAACATTCCACACAATGTTCTGTTTTAGCTGCTTTTTTTTCCCTTAAGCTGTAACATACTACTTCCATTGAATATTCATTTGCTTTTAAATGTTTGTTTTTTTTCACATGCAGATGGATAAAAACAAGAAAGAAAAGAAAGACAAGGAACGGGAGAATGCGAAGGAGAAAAATGCCATCTCTAAAGAGAAGGTGCTGAAAAAAAGACAATCTCTACCCAGTATGAGACACAGACCTGATCCCAGGTAAACCCTTTTTTTTGGTATTCATTTTACCCAGCTTCAGTAAATTTTTCTAAACTTATAGCTTGTTTGATAGCTTGAAACCATCCATAAAAGCAGATGTGTTTCTACTATTACTCTGTTACCTACTAATAACACGTGTGCATCACAATGGGAGCTGAACAAAGAGCTATTTTAACACAGCCTGCTCTTTTGTTACGCATTTGCCACAGCCGGCAGATGGCTGCGGAAAAATCGACTTGTGAACGGTGTATGCCTCAGTTCTAATTTCTCTGACTCTAAACTTGAATAGAAACTTTTCTACTTTGGACCTTCAGCTTGTTTCTTGTCCCTGGGCTTATTTGTGTTTGTGCTACACTGACCTCACCTTTCATTCATCCGTTCAGCCAACGCACTGAGGGGATGTTAGGAAATGTAGTTTCTAATCCTCATGCCCTGCAGTAAATAACCTCCCTGATGGAGAGGATGAGAAAATAATTGAGCTCCTTTGATGCAACAGAGGACTCGGTGAAAGCCTTAAGTTAAGGGGAGAAAGTAAAAGCAATTCCTAGGCATAATGGCCATCGGTTCTGTTTCATCGCTGGGATGCTGAATGATGGTGCACTTTGAGGAATGATGCTTTGTCTCTGTTTGTCCCAGCCATGTTAACTTTGGATCATTTTTCACAAAAACTCCAGTATGAGTCCATCGAAGGACAGCAGCCAGCTGGGTTCAAAGACTTACATTTTTGATGACAGAAATTGGTAATAGTAATGCTTTTTTCCCCCCTTCTCTTTCTATTTCCTGCAGTCCCAGTCCTTTATCGAGACCCCGACCAGCGTCCCCAGCCACACCCAAAGGCAGAACTGCCTCCCCCAGCCCTGCTGCCTCCCCGAAACCCCCGTCAGCAAGAGCAAGTCCAGTGACCCCAAAAGCCCGGCCCAAAAGAGCCAGGACCCCAGCCAGGATAGAGCACCGGACCTCCTCACCCACACCCACTGAGAGAGTAAAGGAGCCTCGCAGGACTGCCACGCCTGAGGAGAGGAAGGGTGAGCATGAGGAGCATACGGCACAAGAGTGTTCAAATTTAGTTGATCTTTTCTTGACTTTTCACTGACTTCACCTGCATGTTGAAGCGTTCTGACTCATCCAGTCTTCGTTTATTAGAATCGTTAATTGTGTATGACTGTAAAGACGTTGACGGGAAAGTTGAGTTGGCAAAACATTTGACCTGAGCTGGATTTCTCCATTGGAACTGTTAATCTGTCATTTTCTTACCACCTCAACAAAGAAAAAAAAGAAGCCAAAAGTAACTGGGCCTCGAAAATAGAGCATGTTGTGGAGCCACACCATCAGCACACTCTGTCCTCCCACACATGTTGATACAGCCTGCACAAATGAGGTTTTTATACAATTAATTAGTTAATGGTCTGAAGTTTTGTCCGTTTACAATTAGCATACGTTCTGGTGACAGTTTTCCTGCCTCTGAACATGATGCGTGATGGGCCCCAATATGAAAAATCCACAGCTCTCTGGTCAATGCTCTTTAAAGGTTCCACTAACTGCTGGTTAATGTGAGCTTTCTCCTCTGGTTTAGGCTCCCTTGTGACTCCGGCCATTACACTGTCCTCTGCCGGCTCCACAACTCACGCTTCAGGCACACCGGTCGCCAGCAGTGCCACTCCTCCCCCACCTGAGCCTGTGGCTTCAGCTCCCTCCGCCCGTGCCGGGTCGCCGGCTCCTTCTCCGTCAGCCAAGCCCATGGCGGGCACCAACAACCCGGAGGAGGCTGCTCGCATCCTGGCGGAGAAACGCCGCCAGGCTCGAGAGCAGAGGGAGAGAGAGGAGCAGGAGCGGCGCGAACAGGAGGAGAAGGAGAAGTCAGTTAGTTTTCAAATCGCAACAAAACATAGTGGTGGACTGTTTGGTCACAAATACTTTAAACATATGTCTTGTCTGTCAGCTTGATACCGACTGAGTTACTTATGCTACCACGTGTTGAATAAATAATGCCCCCCTTTTCAATTTCGAACGCATTTAATATCTTTGGGATCTTCTTAGGGTTCTGAGAGAAGAGCGAATCGCGAGGGAGGCAGAAGACAGACAACGCAGGGAGGAGGAGGCCCGAGCCATGGCTGAGGAGCAGCAGAGGAGGGATGAAGAGCAGCGGCTACAGGAGGAGAAGGAGGCCGAGGAGAGAGCCAGGGCTGAGGAGGAGGAGAACTTACGTCTGCAGAAACAGGTATGCACACCACCGACTTCAGCGAGCCACAACCAAGGAAAATCTGGTGTAAAACATAGGATGGGTGCGACGGGAAATTTTCTGCATGTCTGAGAGTCTGTGGGTCTTTCGGCATGCTTTTAGCGCCCCCCTGTGGTGCTGCAGAGAAGTGGCACTTGTAGGCGAACATGATCCAGCAGAACTATGCAGAAACAATTGTGTTTCAGATTAGGTCGTCCCCACGAGAACGTGAGGGTTGAAAATAGATCTATTTGGCTCGCTCAGACAGGAAAATGTCCCCTTTGCGGTCGTAAACTGTAAAAGCAGGGAGAGGCCACACCCTGTGACGTACAAAGGCATGTTATTTTGGCCGCCGCTTTTTTCCCCCCGTCTGTGTGCATTGAAATTATGGTTGAATTCTCGCCTTTGTGCATTTTCAGAGAGAAGAAGCTGAGGCCAGAGCCCGGGAGGAGGCGGAGAAGCAGCGTCTGGAGAGGGAAAAACACTTCCAGAAGGAGGAGCAGGAAAGACTGGAGAGGAAAAAGGCAGGGCAATAACTTCTGTGCTCCTGTGTTTATGTTTCAGCCAGCTTCTAAGCAGCTTTTTTTTCCAACATAGAAAACTTTCATTCGATTTCCATCCAATTAGGTAGTCTTTGAAATAAAATGCTAATTCGTGAACGTTTCCACCCACTAATGTCATGACATTATTGCAGGACGGTTTAGCTGTAGGAGACACAAATCCCTCAAATAGAAGGAGAGTGCGTTAGGAGAATATTGGCGGGAAAAGGGCACCTCAGAATAGAAAAAGAAACTTTCATATGTAGATTACCATGACAGACTGCCTGGTACCACAGAGTGTTGTGGAAAATGAAAACTTTAAAATAGCTTAAAACACTAATAACCATCAGTAACCTGCACTGGTTTTATTGTTGTGGATTTGTGCAAATCTTTGCATGTTAGTGTTGAGTTACAAAAGTACTTCATTAATTTTAAGCAAATTATTACCTATTTAGTCAAAACTCTCACAAACCCCATCATTAAGGGATGTTTTCCCTGCGATTTGCAGTTACACAAGACAGAAAAATGAAGAAATCCAGCCTCTGTCTTCATGGAACAATCAAAGGATTCAAACTTTTCACTGCTTTTGTGCAGAATTCTGCTTGCTAAACTTAGTTTAATCCTGTGGTGTGAAAACATCCTTCATTGCAGAATGCTCACATGTCCCGATGCCAGCAGAATTTTCCTTTTCTTCATACCATGTGTGAAAGGCTCTGATCTAATTGTGCCAGGTTTGGCTCAGCCAGCAAAGGCTGGCTTTGCACAGGATTTATGGAGAGAACATCACGTCCTCTACCCCAGAGACCTGTTGCCTAGTCACACTCTGTAGAAAACTCTCTCCTACCAAACATGAATGACCAAGACAGTCAGGCAAAAAAAAGTAGTTTGAAGTGTCCTGTGGGGCAACGCAGCCTTTAAAGCCTTTAAGCACGTTTTGCTGCTGAAATGGACACCGAAGTCGTGAGTGTGGGAGCTTTTCATGCAATAAACTTCATCTCATGAATGCCTCCCTGTTTATGAGTGTCAGCTGCAGCTTTGGTGTAGTCATATCCTCAAGTGGAGGTTGCATCTCGTATCAAACTTCGCTGCAAAGAAAGGATCCAGGCAGAGTCGGTTATATTTGAGTCCCTCTCTCATCCTTTCTGCTGCTCACTGTTCAGCTCGCATATGCTGGTGAGCTGAATACACAAGCGGCAGCTGACCCCTTACTGACACAATCCACTGGTTTTATTAAGGCTTGTGTTTTTTAAACTAAAAGATACAAAGGGCAGCAATAGGAAAACTCTTTCTTGGGTGGAAATGTAATGAACCATGAAATCTGAAACCACAGACTCAAGCAAAACAGGCTGAAACGTGTGTGGCCCCGTTTTAACAGGCTAAAGCTAATCCAACTGAACTATTTTGGGGGATGAAATTCTATTAAATCTGGCTGGTGCTATTAAAGCAGAAGCTCATTTCCCATTTTAATATTCCTCTCTGTGTGGGCGACATTTAACTGATCTTTCTTACCTCAACAGCGCCTGGAGGAAATCATGAAGAGGACGCGTAAGAGTGATGGAGGAGACAAAGTATGTTATGCTTTTTTAAATCACAATCAATAAGTCTTAACTTTGCCTTCAAGTCATTGAAATGACCTCAATCTTTTACAGAAAGAGTCCAAGTCCTCCACAGCCACACATGTCAATGACAAAGAGGCAGAGGGCAGCAAAGGTAAACGCATCCGGCTTTACGAGTGTCTTACGGAACATCCTGAAGTGAGCACGGTCCACTTCAAGCCTTTAATCTGCAGGAACTGTTGAAGGCGGTTGCTTTGATTGATATCCCATTAATGGGGCATTTCCTAAGGGATTACAAACAAAGGGGATGCATTGTGACCAGATGGTCTTCAGAATCCACTTTAAGACTTTTAGTACCACCATTAACAAACTAACAGGAACAACACAGTAAAATTTAAATGTCACTGACTCATCTTATTAGAGATTGCCCAGTTATTTCCACAGTCCCATTTGCACTCATGTGTTGTTGCTTCTTTTACCTTTTCCATGTACGGCATTAGACAAAGGCTCTTATTTGTTGTCCTTTGTCACAGCCCCCATATGAGTTAGATCCACACTGAAGCATTTTGTGTGTTTTTTATATATTCTTTTTAAACCTTATTAGATTATATATTCACCTCATATCCTGTACAGCTGCAGTTGGAGTTGTTCTAGTCTGCACAATCGGACCCATGTGTGTGATTACTTGTTGCTCAGTCCCCGGGACTGCTGGACTGGAGAGGATGAGTGGGCTAACAGTAATAGCCTGCAGCAGTTTAGCCTCATTTCTGATGCATGAAATGAAAAGGAGAATATATTGGATGTTTGACACCCCACCACATCCAAAATTACACCCTAATGTGTTATAAACATCGATAACAGCTTATATGCTACATTAAATAAATTACTAAGATGAAGGGAACTGGTCCAGCTTTAAATGAATGCTGTTTGTTGCAAAGTTCTCCTTTGCATTAAGATATTCTTCAGACAGTTGGTGCGGTCGGAGTTCTGGCTGGAAATCAACCATTTAAATGTAGGGGTTTGGAGTTCTGCCACAACCACAGCCCTATCTTCAGAGGAGCAGTGAATTTAGGGCCTGAAAGATAGAAAAAATTATCATCTGGGATCCTCTTTTTGCTTAACCTTACATTATTTAAAAGCGTTACGATGCTCTTGCTGAACATGTTGAATACTTTCATTGGCTTTTGAATAATGCATTTATATCATTTTGCCTGCAAACCCAGAAGGCAATGTATTAGTCAACCACAGTGGGAGAAAAAACATTTCAGCTCCCTTTAATGTTTTTTTTTTTCTTCCACTGTGGCTAAATGGAGAAGCTTGATGAAAGGCCAAAATACTGTAAACTGTGAACTGGTGCTAAATGGTGCCTGTTGTATTTGCTCCTCCATACATGATCAACCAGATCTGTGGATGGTAGAGTTGGATATTAAATATGTGTGGTCACACTGTGGCAAATGGCAAATGCTGGCATTGACTGTTCATTTTGTTTTAGCTTCTGCAGACTATCAGCCAAAGCCAGAAGCTGTCCCACCCAATAACAAGACAGAAAATGGACAGACCAAAGCTATGGAAAGGTAAATTCAAGCTCCTTTTTTCTTTTCTCACACTGAAACATGCCTTTCCTGAACATTATAAAGATAATATGGCTTAACACAGAGCTGGCCGTCCACTACAAATCAACATCACATTTTTGTGAACCTCAGTGGAAAACGCAAAGAGCCACATGCATCAGGCCCGCTGTAAACAGCTGCATCGCTGCCACAATTGTGTGGTTTCAAGAACTGTTTACTCTTTTTGTTTGAACACAGTAGATGGGGTAGATTAAAAAAACTCCTATAACTGAACAGCGGTTGAATGACTCATTTGATGTGTGAGTCACTCATTCATCATAACTGAAACCATATCCTGCTTCATGCCAGCCTCGCAGTGGTTAATGGGGTCCAGCCCACGAGGCATGAGAATGGACTGTCCACAAAAGAAGAGACGGCCAACATTGAGGACATCGTCCACCTTACAAATCACGGCAACACCACTAACGGAGCCAGGGATAACTCTGAGACCAGCGTGACCGCTGAGCCCATCCTGTCGTTCGAAAGCGAGGAGTCGTTCATGAAAAAAGCAGGAACCATGAAGCCTCAGCATGTCGCAGGTATGGAGTATCCAAGCACTCACAAATGCATAATAGATACCAAGGAACAATCGTGGTCATAAAGTGTGCTAAAATTAAACAGGAGAAAGAAGGAAAGCTACAATCATACTCATTCCAGAGTGGCTTTGCAGGGATGTTGCAGCAGTGCATTCCTCACTCGATTTGCCTGAGAGGAAAAAGGTCTTTGTTCCGGAATAAACCCGGTCCTCTTCTACTCTCTGCGATCACATTTACTGAATTCAGCCTCCAATAAAGCTGCCCTCTTTCTGGCCTTTCGAGTCCTTTTGTTAAGTAGCGACTGAAAAAGGAGCCTGTTATTAATACTACCTGTTAGTCCGCAGTGAGTTTCATTAAAGCATTTCGAGACCATTGCAGTGCTGCTAGAATTTATTTTATGTAAAACCACCATCCAAATAGTATTGATCTGCACACTGATGTTTTTTAACTAGTACGATGATCAAGCTTTTTCTCACACAGTCCAGAGACTTGAAATCCAAGACAAGGTTGGTCAAGCTGCCACAGGCAGTGCTGCTGCTTAGCAGAGGCCTCCCTTTAAGATGCTTATGTTCAAAGCCTGTAAATCTGTTCCCAGAGTCTCACTTTTTCGCCGTGAGTTGATCTGGTTTTGAGTTCATTTAACTAAGCATTAAAGCTGTATGTTGTCCTAATCTGCTTAACTTAATCTCCAATGAGAAATATCAAAATACTTAGCTCGATTTAAAGGTGTTGCAACAAACAGCTTTTTAAATCCACATTTCTGCAAAAATCTGCCCGTAAATTTGCTGTTTTTTTAATGTTTCAGACATATCTGTGTTGATTGGTGTAACTAGGAATGAATTCTAGATTGAATTTTATGAAATGCCCTGTCCGATCCCAACGTTTCTGCATGTTGGGTTCAGTTAGCAGTTTTCCTGTGATTCTAACCTGCAGGATTTTATGGAAACATTAAAAGGATATGGTGACTCAGACACTTTTACGACCAAAGAAAAAACATGGCGCTATTGGGGCAACTTTACAAAAATAACTTTGTTTCTGTGGTCTTTGCTGGGTAAAATGAACCTGGCTTAGTATCACAGGCTGGTTGGCCATTGGCTCTGTCTGAAATGCTTTGTATTACCGGGCATATATGCAAACAAAGCAAACCTTACTTTTAAAATAAGTCGTCCTTGGCATGAAGTGACTGTGAACCTAAGCTTGTTCTTAATCAAACATGAAGGTCATCATCCGGGTGAATGTTGGACGTCCCTTAGGAGAGAAAGGTATAGCATACAGAGTATCTTACTGCCAAGGGGTGGATCTGGGATATGGAAGGAATAAGTATTGGAGACTGGAGAGAAGCTGGGTATCGTTATACTGTTGACAGCTTTAATTCACTCGCCCTACTGACTTGGGCCCAGTGAGGAATTCTAGAGGCAACAAGGAGACCCTATCCATTAGGGCTTCATTGCCAGGGGTTAGAAATTGGACTCCAAAGCAATTAAGCACTATGTAATGCCTCACTCCTCTCCTTCCCAGTAGCTATCTCAGCAGTAGCCTTCTAGTAGCCTCTTCCTGCTACATTTACGCCTTGACCTATCATGCTGAAGCTAAAGACACCATCATGAAACATGGAACATGATTGGCATTCTAAATCATCGATTTTTTTCCCCACATGAAATCTTACTGTAATTAATATTTCACCGTCTAAGTTTGACCACCACCGAGCTAGTTAACCGTGTCATAAAACATGGATATTCTGGCTCTGCGTCTTCACGCTAATAGAAATGGATATTTGAGTCGATGGTGACCTGCCTGTACTTAAACTGAGGCTTATGATCAGGCATATCGGCTGACCAGACTGATTTAATATTGCATAGTAATTCCATAGGAGGTCTATTTATGGATCCTTGGTTTCTTCAAATGTTTGAATTTTAAGGATCTGAGCCTTGTTGGTGTTTATGTGGCTCGTCTCTTAAATAATATTAATCAGACTTTTACGGGTGGGCCACATGTCAGTATAACACTTTTTAACTTTGAGCCCTACTACCTTTTCATTTGATCCCTGTAAACAAGACAGTAACGATTTATGGGATCTTGCCCTCTGCGGCATGTTTGACATCCTTTTGCTTTTAGTATTGTCAACAGGTCAGAGGTTTACAGAGTGTGTCATTACTCAGTTCAACGACTCTGACCCTTTTTGGCAACACACTGGATTTGACTGTTAGCATGCGTCTATAAATCTGGTGTTGTCGCCGTTTCTCCTGACCTTTAACCCCTTCACTCTCTGGGTCTTCCTCCACAGAGGTCCTGTGACGTATCCCATAATGAAGTGCTCACCGCCTTACCCCCCCGTCCCATCCCTGCCAACGCTCGCACTGCGAGCCCCTCCACCTGTGCCAACAACCACCTCCTCCTACACACCGAAAAGTAAACGCACCAGGATTCAAGCAACAGAAAAAAAAAAGGACGAAGCGTCTCTCTGCGCTCGGCACAGGAGCATCAACACTTCCATCCTGTGTGCATCGCAGCACCGCTGAGGAATTATGATCATGCAGTGACTCATGAACTTTTCTTTTCTTTGATCTTTAGTTATTTAACTGAAAGTGAAACGTATAAAGACCGGGTACATCTTTGTGAATACTGTAAATGGAGTGAGATGAAGAAGGAATCAGTCGGCAGATCCGAGAACCATGAAAGGGAGTCATTATCTGCTACTTAAAAAACCCAGGTGTTATACAACCTGGCTTGTATAAAGCTGCCTGTAACGTTTTTTGTAAAGTAAAACTCTGAAATCAGATTAATGAAGTTGACAGTAGTTTGTACCATCTGTCTGTACCTAAGATTGATTGTAAGCGAAATGGATGTAAAAATGAGTTTGTCAACTTTATGATTACAGAAGCAGAGATGGCCACTGTCAAATCCAGAGAGGATTGCTTCCAGTTACTAGTTGTAATTATCCCCCCCTTTGTGCAAGCATGAGTGTGTTTTCTCTCATTTGCACTGAGAATCTACAGACTGGTGGAAAATTGAGATGCTGTAAATGCTATAAATATATTTTGATGTGCATTGTAAACTCAATGGGAGGATCTGATGTCTCATTAAAGACAAGCAGTTCAGTCTATGGTCTCGACTTTTTCATTTGCTCTGAAAAAATCTGAATTGATGCATTTGAGGATTACTTGTGACATGCTCAATAGTGATTAAGGTGTACTTATTCCCAGTGTATGATCGATCAGTGCTGTTAAGTTGATAATTTGGGAACACTGGCTTGCATATCTTTGTGTTGAGTTAAATAGGAGGGAACATACACACTATCAGCAGGAAACCAAAAAGCCATTACAGTTGGTGGACGAGGCATGTGCGTTGTGCTCAGCTGTCCATTTTAGTTTGTGTCTCCTTTTACAAAATCCCTACAGGGGCCCACATGGCACTTTCTTCTGCCCCCCTTTCACTTTTATAGCTATTGGCAGGCTTGGCACATTGTTTCCAGCCCGCTAGGCAGCTGAAGACACGATTTATGTTCCCCTTCATCCAAACGTGAAGACATGCCGCACTGATAATCATGTGGAACTTGCATGATTTAGATTTCTCAAAGCTGCTGTGAAATGTCACTGTAGTGGAACCCAGTAGAACCAGGGACTATAGCTTGTTCACAGTTTGTCATGCCAGGGAAGTCTCTTAGCTCCTGGAGGGTGGTGTAAGATTCAGTAACCATACACTAGCAAGTTGAGAGCAATCTGTGAAGACCCCAATTCACACACGTTCTTTTAAAAGGGCACTTTCCCTTCGATTAAAATCAAACCTTAAAGGTAAATGGAGCAGAGGTTCAAATAACAGGTAGAAGGTGAATTTTCAAGCGGGTACTTTAGTCCATTTAAATCGCTTTAAGCTCAAAGTTGAATGCTTTTTTTTCTCTGCATGTCATTAATGTGCACAATAGCGGAGCGTTCTTTTGGAGCTCTGAGAGAAGGAAAGAAATTGGATACGTTGTATTTTTCAAGACTAACTCCTGTGCACACAAACGTTATATTTGAAAGCATGATTTCATGAATCCAGCACGTTACTACTGTGGCTGTCCACCTTGTAAAAGCTGTATTCATCCACCCCACAAGAGGGTGTCGCAATGCATCGTGGAGGTAAGAGCCATGAAATAGGGTATTTCTATAGATTAGGGTTATAAAAAGATCTTTGCATGCAACACGACGTAAATTAATTCACATGTAAAAGTAGCTGTGTATATAAAAATGTAAATGTATATAAAAATGCAGTTGAACTTGTCAGTACTTGGTAATGTGTATTACTTCTCAGAGGGGACTAGAGGATTAGTGAGCACTATTTTTAGTGAGGTGTTACAAGGCAGTGCACAGTTACAGAGGGGGCAGTGCAGGGTTTTAAAATAAATTCTCACAGATTGATAGGTGGAAAAAAGAATTGTAAGTAGGATAGGGGATCCAGAAGCAACAGATGGTCAATGGAGGCAAAGGTGATCACTTCGAATGTCCTAAAATAGCCGAGTGTTGTTCTGCAAATCTGATGTTTTCAGTGTTTGGATGTCAGTTTGATTGATGCTTGTATTATTTGCTCAGCATGCGAGTGAGCTGCGCCGACGGTCGCACAATACCGATTCTATTCTTACACCTGTTCACGCTGGGCGAGTAACTTCCTGTTAACGTTCATATCAGTGACAGAGACAATCATGTAAACATATCTAGTCGAGTGAAGATTTTATATCCCTGCTGACAAACATTTGTGTTGAAGTTCCTCTGTTCAGAGAATGCAGGCAGCTTTCCCTGGGAGACACAACTGCACAAACATACACACACACACACAGTTATTTTAGTCATAAATCTCTCTGCATGAAGACTGTGAAGAATCTTGCAAATGTTTCAGAATTGCAAGTGTCACTGCTCAACTTCCATTTGAAACAAAGTAAAGGGAGGTCAACAGAGGGTCACTCCGCGGTGTCCCACCCCAGATAAGACCACCACCACTATAGTTATGCGCTACTCGCCGCCTTCAAAGCTCAAGTGCCAAACCTCTGTTTAGCGTTTATTCCCACTCCCGTCTTTATCTGCTCAGCAACAGGCTCCGTTCACAGCTGCTCTCAGATGGCAGCGCATTAATTAAAGGCCATCCCATGGCCAGCACTCACGACAGGCATGTGTCTCAATCCCTGGCAGCGCTCTCAGAGCAAAGCAACCTCTCAGCTATTGTGACAAGAGATCGGAAGATTCAAGAATGACCTGGCACCAGATCACCAATGAAGGGAGTCTGACGTTTGCTGCACCTTCCGCATTCGTGTTATTTTGAGCGAATGGGAACTACTCTTTCTTTGGGAATGCTTCACACGAGTTAAAAGTGTGCTCAGATACAGTGGAACTAATTATTGGACATGAAAGCATTCGCTTTGCTGTCAACTACAATGCATCACTACAAACTCAAGAGCTTAATAACAGTGTTGATACGGATAAATATTGCTACCTTCTCCCCTCGAATTTGACAAAATCATCTAGACATATTGTCAGGTGAATAAGAAAGACAAGACATTTAGCTTGTATGCACACAGCTGTACTTTCGTGGGATTTGGCACTCCATTTGTGCTGAAGATATCCATCTTTTGACATATTTTTAAAAAGCCGTATTCATCTACCGCTGTTGCAACTGACATGTTAGTTATGTTTCTGCTAACATACATGTAAACTGGGGCAATTTAATGTCCAGTTAAATGGTTATTTTAAGCTCTAGCAGTATCTCTAGTAGCTCAAACTTGACTCAGCAGTGTATTTATCTATTTTCTGCTTTTACTTTACACACACTCACACACACACACAGACACACTCACACATTGACAATCCATCCAATGACAATCCATCAAGGTACCGTAAAAAGTAAAAAATGCCACAGACAACGCCAGAGCTCTACATATCAGCAGGATCATACTCTGGGAACCCTGAATATGTCCACAAAATGTCAGGGAAGTGTCTCCACCTGTCACAGTAGAAGATAAGCTGACTGTGACCTCCATGGAGTCAGGCCACAACTGTGCCTGGTGAACGAAAAGTGGCAAATCAAATGACTCCCCAGACGACCCGCATTTAGACAGTGAAGCAGTCTTCGGTGCAGATATCTGTTGTCTCTTTATCTTGAAGCTGACAGTTTTATGCATCACAGCCAATCAGAATACAGTGGGCAAGTAGCCTCTATTTTGCTTGGCTTGGCTATTTCAGCTCGAGGGATCACCGAGATTGAGTCCCTGGTGAAGTCTCACTGCCAGCAGCCGTGGTGCTTACTTTCATTCCTGTTCTAAGCTTGTGAGAAATAAAATTGCCAAAAAGAAGTAAAGAGTTGGGCCTTTTTTCATCACTGGACCACAGGAAGGCCCTTAATTCACTTTTATGTTGTGTCTAGAGCCACGGAGCCACGGAGGCAATCTGATCGAGTTTCACTGATGAGTTTTATCACTGTTTAAAAGTTCAGCACAGATGATTTATTGCTGGAAGATGTCCGATTTCAAAGCCAAATTTGGGCTCAAATTGTAGCTTACACATTTTCTGCTTCACAGAATCTTTATGTTGGCACATAAAAGTGACTGAAAGTCATGATTCAGCAATGCCCATGTCCAGTTTCAGTGGGTTTGAGTCCAGTTGCTAAGACACGACTTGTGCATTTATTTTGTAAGATAACAAATTTGTGCAAGGATTGCCATTTTACGAGGGCATCAACTTAATGTATGAAGGGGTGTGTGGGCCGGGTTGTTAGTGTGAGTGTGAATAAAAAGGAAAAACCATCTAAACTCAACATGTTTTCATTTCCAGAAGTGGATTTTATCATATGTTTATTCAGTTGTATGTGTATATGGTGTTATTATCTGTGTGTGGAGTCTGTGTGCGTTAGTTTGACTTTTGACATCCTCTTGTGCAAAGGGAGAAGAACATTAGTGGGTGTGGAAACTACTGTCAGCCCAGCAACAGACCACAAGATGTCTATACTGTCGGGGAGAATGCATTCAGAGAATTTAAAGACAGTTCTGCTATAGTTCTGTTTCACACCAGTCAACCCTGTGATGGAAGCACAAGTGAAAAAGAGACTGAAATTTTGAAGACATTTACATAAACTGTTAGACCATCTGCATTTCAGTTTTGAATGTGGCTAAATAGAACTAATACATGGCCTCTTATAACTGAATATAACTGAATTGCCCTCCTCTATTTCCCCTCTATTTCATGTTTTGATCAAATGTTCGGTGTGATGGAAAGAATGTGATAAAAAGGGCAGATTTTACTTCAAAATTATGTACACAGCAATGAAAACAT